CATAATCTGAAATAAAAATAAGTTGAATAAATAAATATAGATACATGAATAATTCTTCATGTGTTAGTCAACATGTAACAGGCAAATACAAATAATACAATTATTATTTTTTTAAGTGAGAAGGTGGCAATCTGGCTGGCGGTTAACCTAATGCTTAGTGGTTACTACCGCCCATAGACATTTGCAACACACACACGTAAAAAAATAGGCCCAGGCTACCTCACTCACCAGACGAATCGCAAAAGTATAAAACTTTTAATTTAAGTCGGTCTTCTGAGAGTTGCTTCCCCAGACAGACCAATTATTTGCGCAATAGCGAAGACTGTTGCGTGCGGTTTACCAGTAAATGAAAACTTTGAAGGACGTATCCCAAATCCCTATTGTCATAAGCAGAGCTAAACCATTTAGTAAGCAATATTTAACCAGAGTTAAGGGGCTGAGTTAGTTTTAATCATCAATTTAATTTTTCAACTCCCCAAAGTCTTAGGACTGCAAACCTAAAGCAAAACGGATTTCATTTTGAAATTTCCGTGTTTAGAAATGTGTCTACTAGTAATTATAGTATTTACACATTTATAGGTTAATTTGTCGGTTACAGTAACTATTGTAAATTTTGTGCTGATTCATTAGCTTTATCCCATAATGAACCCTATGGGAATAGAATGGGCGACCTGTGTATACTTTTCGAAAAATAATTGGAATTTATTTTTATGTTATGGCAAAATGATAAGAACCTTCAAACATAAACGGCGAAATTAAAATGACATGAATCATGATTCATCACAAAATACATACTGTACATAATGAGAGTGATGATAAAAATGTATATTTGATTCCTGAAATCATTACCTGCAAACCATCGACTTCCTAAGAGAGAGCATCTTTCCTAAAGGTGAGAGATTTCAAGTACAAATTCTTTAGGGTAAAAATTTCCATAAGTTTCCGGGTGTTTGCGACCAAACAAAAATTTTTTTTGGTTAAGAAAAATCACTAATGAAATAATCAACAAGCAGAACATGGAGGTCGTTTATAGTTTTCGAGGAAAAAAAACTTGGGCAAATGTAAATAACTTTAACTCCGGCGTAATTCGATTAAAATAATTTTTTAACGATAGAGAAAAATCACTAATGAAATAATCAACAAGCAGAACTTGGAGGTCGTTTATAGTTTTCGAGGTCGTTTATAGTTTTTACTATAGAAATCCGCCATTTTTTGTTGTCAATATGTCAACTCTGCTCGTATTTCTTGGTGGTCATAAAAAAAAAAAGCCTAACATCGAAGGTTAAGGCGGGATCTCGGCTCCCGCCTGAACCTTCTAACCTAATCTATCCGAGTCGGTTCTGTGACGCATTAAATTAAAAAAAAATCGGACTATCGATACGAGTATGATGTCGCCCGCTTCCTATTTTTATCATGTTGGCAGAACTGTGTATTGAGTTTTTGAAGTGAAATAAATAAAATGGTGGCTTTCTTAGTAAAAATAACAAGTTTTAAATATTTTTTTCTCGAAAACTATAAGCGACCGCCGAATTCTGCTTGTTGATTAATTCATTAGAGATTTTTCTCTATTGTTTAAAATTTATTTTAATTGAATTACGGAGGAGTTAAAGTTATTTATATTGCCAAAACTTGTTATTTTCACTAAATAAATCCGCCGTTGTGTGTTTGATAACATGTATAAATTTGCGATTTTTCTTTACCGAATAAAAATTTTTTTACGTCGAAAAACACCCGGAAACTTAAAGAAACTAATACCTGTAGGCTTTAGCTGTAGGCTTCCACCGAGTGGATTAAGGTTCGAATACCGATGGGATATAATCTTTATAGCTTGTCTACCCTCTACACCGTATAACTCCTAATATCCTAATAAATATTGGGTTAACGTCTTGTCAATGTGCCGTATTGACAATTTATATGACGTTCTTGTTTTAATTTTAAATCATTAGTGTAGAGAAGAAGAAGGTTCTCATTCTGAAACTTTCTATTGAAGAGACGTTCGAAATTCAACTCGCTTATACACAATACAGTTCGAACGAAAAGACAATCGAAATTTTTTCATGCATAATCTAAAGGCAGGCCTAATCAAAACAGGATGTCTAAGGATGTGGCGTAGGATTCCAAATGCCTCTCTCCTGCTCGTTTCCTGCGGCGTCAACGACCAAAATAACAAATAGAAATAACAAAGCCTTTCTCATAGTCGTAGTGAAACGTCAGCTGACATAATCGTAGATCATCTGACCATAGATACTACATATATATTGGATATAGACTATAGCAATCATCATCATCATCATTTCAGCCTGTTTGAGTCCACTTCTGAACATAGGCCTCCCTCACAGTCTGCCATGAAGTACGATCCTGAGCCACCTGCATCCATCGACTTCCCCCACATTTGCACAGGTCGTCACTCCATCTAGTGGGGGGTCGTCCTACACTGCGATGGCCAGTACGAGGCTGTCACTCGAGAACTCACTCCGTGATGACCTACGGAACCGAGACGTGGTCCTTCACTGCTGGCCGTTTGAGGGCTCGCGTAAGGCCGTATCGAGGCAAAGTCGCTCAGCGAGCTATGGAGCGGGCTATGCTCGGTATTTCTCTGCGTGTTAAAGTTCGTAACAAAAGACATCCGCAGTAGAACCAAGATAACCGATATAGCTCATAGGATTAGCAAGCTGAAGTGGCGATTGGCCGGCCATATAGCTCGTAGAACCGATAACCGTTGGGGAAGAAAGTTTCTCGAATGGCAGCCTCGTACTATAGCAATGTTTTAATAAATATGGCGCATGTCCATACCACGCGGTGTTTAAAAATTGCTCCATTTTACATTGTATGACATCTATAATTGAATGTGAAAGATGATACGGAAAGAGAGAGCAGTATGTGAAATTGCAACCTAATTACACCAATTGGCGTAATTTGAGTGCCTTAGTTTCGGTGGGATAATGCCATATTTATTTATTTATTTATTCAACAGGTACACCAACGTAAGTTCACATATCAATATTAAACATTAAAAAGATGGGAATTTAATCATATTTACTTGCATATGTGACGAACACTTACAGACGAACGCCACAAAGACAAGTTAAGGCAATATGATGTATAATTAAATATACCATATCACTAAATAACGTTAAATTAAGACCACATTAAACTGTAATAAAAACAAAACATCAATAAATTTTGAAAATGATATGATAAATCTCAAAAACAGCAAAAAATACAAAATAATAAAGCATTAAAAATAAAAAAAATGTGATTAACGTAAACTAAACTACAGCACAATATTGCGGTGTTTGGTAAGTGTATCTTTATTATGCATAACGATTCGGTCACTAAAACTGTTAATTAAATTACACAGTCTAGGAATTGGTTAATTTGCCAAGCACAGATCTGTGCAGAGGTGGGCCAAAGGAGTTGCATATAGTAGTATAAGTAATAGTAACGTGAAATTCTGGGGGGAACGCTAGAATTGAAAAGTTGTAATGGGGGCAATCAATCTTATTAATGAATATTTTTAGCGCAAAGATTTATCTCCTTCGTGCTTGTATGTAATATCATTGGACTCTAGTATTCGAGTCACAGAATGTTTCTAATCAATATTTGTGAATAATAAAACTTAAGTACCTACTTGAAAGGAAAAAATAAAGTTAATATTATATTCTTATATTTAACGGCAATTCAATCATAAGTACTCAAATAATTAACTAAGCTAAGAATAAGGTAAACAACTATAGTTTTGCCATCTACCCGTAGAAAGTACGTACGAATCTGAAACGAATTATAGATTTTCTATAGATACCTTCACCTCAATTGCGCTCTCCTCATCAGATGTTACCGTGGATATAAATTAACCGCTAATCGAAGCAACGTGATACCTAATGGTACAAGGCTTGGAAAAAAGTGATACAAGTGGACATAAAAAAGGCGTCCCTACTCATTAAAGTAAAGTAAAGTATATAGTAGTATAGGAGTAGTAAAGTATACAGCCTATAAATGTCCCACTGCTGGGCAAATTCCTTCTCTGTAAGGAGGGTATCAGGACATAGTCCACCACGCGACCCTACTGCGGATTGGCGGACTTCACATATTTTGGAAACATTTTTTTTAATTATTATTTTGAAAATATGCAGGTTTCCTCACGATGTTTTCCTTCGCCGCCAAACACGTGATAATTAAGCACTTAAAATTAACAATTTCATTGGTGCTGGCACCAGGGATCAATGAAATTATTAATTTTAAGTCACACTGGCCACAGCCTCTCGTCCAACCGAATTCCTTTTTAAATCTGATTCAGGGTCCTTATTAAACCTAAGTCCCTTCATTTTACTTGCTGGGGAATTCGAAAACACGTAGCATGGGATTCAAGTACACAGTCCAAGTAACGGGAGACCGACATTTTAATCTTCCGTACCACCTCCAAGAAATTCCACAGGAGAAAAACGTAGCTAAAAAAGTCCACGATCGATGTCGACAGAATCGAACGGACCCCAAAATAGGCATATCTAACTAGAAGTAAATACAGCGGAACACAGACAGACTGCGTGGGACCCTACTGGAAGATCTAAATCCATAAAACACTGCCTACCTTCTTAAAAATAAAACTAAAATCAAATTTAGTATCATATTTTCATTTATATATTGGCCCCAGCACAACCTTACTGAAGTAGGAATGTTTGACTAAGTCAAATTTTGTTTCGTAACATTTAACGTTTCAATGGAACTTTTCTTAATTATTTCTATCGTCGATAGTGGTTACCTAAATTTTAACAAACATGTCTCTAGTGTATCAGTGAACCACTCTTATTCTTTCTATCAATCCAATTTCCTAACAAGTTCAACTTAGTAAAAGGTCGTTATTTTCGTTTCAATTTACGTTGTGACTGCTATTTATGTCGCATCCCTATTGAACGTTAGAGCTTTCCTGGTACCTAGGGCGCAGAATCGCCCAGTACCTGACATTCATTGAACTCCTGCCGTCTCATCGTCTGCCGAGCACAATGCAATTGTAAGTGATTATAGCAAACTTAGCTATTGGCAATTGAGTATTTGATAGTATTTATTGCTATTCTGTGTAAAAAAGCTGCCGCGATGTTATTCGTTAATACCTTGAGATACATAGTTGCCGGTGCAACAGGTGTATGCAATGATGTTTCATATTATCATTGTATATATTATCATTGGGTGTATGCTGTTAAGCTCAAGCGCGATTAAAGGTTTTTAAACAAAGAACTACGGATTTTTACACTTAAAAGATATCTAGTCATATATCACAAACATGGACACAAGCATGCATATAATATATATATCGTTGCTTGAGAGTTTATTGTATAAAGAGCTAGAGTTCATTGTATGAACGGAAATCAATAGAAGCAAATTAAGTGTCCTTACATTATTGGTATGAACAGAGCATAAATTGCGAATTGCACATGAAATGGGTTTCTTTCTTCAGTTTTCACATATAAGGCTATGGTTATCGATATATTAATACCTGAAGCAAAAACTTAGTACCCCTTTATACGAAAATTACACGGACGGAGTAATATAAAATTTCCCACACTTTTCCCATAGTTTTATATAGAGGAGTGCAGAATGCTAATTTTTTTAAATAAGCAAAAAAAATTACTTTAAATCAATATAGAAAACATTACACACACTACCATGTTTTTGACACACACACCCATATATAATCTTTTCTGTATTGTGTATTGTATTTGAAAAAAGATTATGTTCCAACTTATAATTTAAATTAGTTATGGTCGCATTTCCACCACTCGTCTTTATAAACAGTTTACAATTTTTTTTATGTGAGAAGGTGGTAAACTAGCCGACGGTTAACCTGATGTTAAGTGCTGATAATAACCGCCGCCCATTGACATTAGCAACACCCGTAAAGAGTTGCAGATGCGTTGCCACCTTTTAATAAAGTGGTCCCCGGCTTCCACTTCCACTTCCACTTCACGTCGAACTTCTGTATGGCCGTAATACTTAAAGACGGACCTGCCTATTTGTGCAACAGTAGGCAAAACGTTTTATTTTTATTTATTTTATTGCACTTGCTTCCTCTAGTATCCTGCTCCAATTTCTTGGTTTCTTTGCCTTCATTAATTGTGGTAGGGCCACGCAATGGTGTTGTTCACTGCTGCAGTAATAGGCAGGTCGTCCGGGTAAGTACCACGACCTCACAGAAGACCGGCGTAAAGTAGAAGTGTTACACTTCTCCGTTTCGTCTGGTGACTGAAGTAGCCGCGGCCAAACTGTTAAAAGGTGGCAACACATCTACAATCGGCGTTGCAAATGTCCGTGGGCGGCGGTTATCACTTAACATCAGGTGAACCGCCAGCTCGTTTGCCACTTTCTCACATACAAAAACGTCGCATCCTGGTGCAACAACCTTAGTCGATTTGGCGCCGATGCCAGCTCTGCTACGTCTGCACGTCAACTAGGAAACCCGCCCTAGTCCTTTCATCGTAGTTTGTTTTTGAAACTGTGTTTTTTTTTTACTTGTTGGCTTTTTATTATGACCAGCCGCCTGCCTGACGTCAATCCTCCTTGGGAATTCTAGGTTATTTGGGAAAGGTGATGAGATTATTTTTGACCGAATTAAGGAATGATACCTACTGTGGCGAATGGTTAATGTGAAGTAGAACAGTTTCTTTTTTAATACATGAAAAGTTGCCAAATGAGCAGACGGTTCCCCTGATTTTAAGTGAATACCGCCGCCCATGGACATCTGCTACACCCGAGGGCTTGCCATTCGTGCAACAGCCGAGGCTGCTGCGTGGCCCTACCACCGAAAGATGTAGTAAGGAAGCCGTCGTCGCACACTTTACCCTTCTGAACTTAGCCGGACAGACTACTGTCATAGCGATCCCCTGGCTGGGATAGAACATAAAAAACCTTAAAAGCTGAAAAAATTGTTTCAGAAAACAAATTATTAAGAGCCTCGGGCAAAAAGTATGGAACTGGATAGACTTGAAGTTCGTGAGCTTGTTAATCGCTTACTTCTTAATGGTAAGGATTCCCTTTTATCTGATTTTTAATCCGAAGTCTAATTCTTACCATAATAACATTTCACCAAAACTTTTAGAGATTAAACTTTTTCGTTAATACCCTAATAATGTTCATACATGTAAAAAGCCACAGGAAGTGATCCATCCCGATCGCCGGCCATTTTAGACACCATATACGACAGAAAGACCCACCACATGGCCATCCTTTGAAAGAGTGTGGTAAATACGCTAGGAGCGGCAACGGTGCAATAAATTTTTAACCTTCTTATCTCAACTAGTTAGACTAACCACGCACTAAACGTTTATTTTCTTTTCTTATTACAGTTCAGTCAATTTTTAGGACTGTTGATGATACTCTTTCTTTTCGCCGTCGATGAGAAGGCCGTAAGAATGTTGGATCACAACGACAGAAACTTCTCGGCTAACTTGGTGATCCTCGTCGTAGCTGCCTCCTTTATTCTCATCGTTGCGTTCTTGATGGTAACGTGCTCGGTGGTGCTGATCATCGGCTTGCATAAGGTGGGCTAGAGACTACATATATGTTACTGATGCTAGAAATATTGCAAATGGGGAACTTGGGTAGCTTTGGTGCTGGTCTAAGCCGAGACTATACGGAAGAGACTATACTATAAAAACCACTTCAATTAACCAATAAGAGTAGTTCTTTGCCTCTTGTATAGATAATGTTATAGTAAATTGTAAAAACGTTGATCTAGTAATATTGAATGGCGTTAGATCAGTCCATGAAGCCTTAAATAGACCTACACATTTAACAGAAATAATGTTATTATAAATGCACTATTCTAACTAAAAACAGGATTAAGAAACGTAGATATAGCGTTAAGCACAAAGCACCCTTGTTAAAATTAACTCATAATGATATCAATAGCGGTTTAAATGTCTTATTTAATATGATCACATCTAAATAAAGTGCCAGAGAGAATGCGCTATACGATTTATATGGTAGTAAGTCATTATCATGTGATCCTAATTCTTTCATAAATATGTAAGGAATTATTTGAAATGTTCTTTAGCTACTTAAGTAATAAAATAAAATCGTCTTCAAACAAAGTTAAACTACATGGAATGTAATAAAAAGGAAACTGACAAATATGATGAAAAGAGGCAGATTTGACGTTTAATATAAATGACAATCGTATAAAAGAAAATTATAGTGTTGCAAATGAGTTTCTTAACATCTTCACAAATTATTACATGGTGGTAGGGCCACGCAACAGTGTTCATCGTTGCACGAATAGGCAGGTCCATCCGGGTAAGTTTCACGACCTCTGGTGAGTGAGGTAGCCAGGGCCCACTTTATTTAAAGGTGGCAGCGTATTTGCAACCCTACAAATGCAAATGTTGCATATGTTCATGGGTGGCGGCTTTCACTTAACATCAGGTGAACCGCCTGCTCGTTTGTCACTTTCTCACGTTAAAAAAATTACCTTGTAAAACTACTAGACATTTACAACACTGTCCCATAGAATATAGATAAATATCTGGGTAAATTATGTCAATATTTCTTTACCAAATTTTAAAGTTTTGCCGAACGATATTATTAAGTCTTTTAAAAATTGAAATTAAAAGAAAACAGAAAACCTATGGGCCTTATAAATATGGGCAATTGATCTTGTGATCTGTGATATTGCTTGTTTATTAGTTATGTTCCAAAATATTTCACACATGTTTAGATTCTAGACATTTTTCAATAGTTATTTGAAATATAAAAAAGTTGTGCCAGTATATAAATTAGGTTCAAGAGAAATGCCTCTAATTTCCGTCCCATCTCTATGTTGAAAGTATTTGAGAGAATAATGCAGGAACAAATGATAGCTCATTTTGATAAACAAACAATTTTAAACCAGGAATAAACCTGATGCAGGAATAGAATTAGATTCGCATATCCTGCAGTTTTGATTAATATTCCATGACACGATTGGAATGTTCTGTGACCTTTTCAGGGCATTTGACTGATCGTGCAATTATTATCAAGAAATTGGGATATCATAATATGACTGAGTCTGTGGTTTGCAACGAATAATTTGCTTTTAAATACCAAAACAAAAATTGAACACCACTAAAACAAAATTTATCAGATTTACTCTATCAAAGTTGTCTCACCAGCCGGGAAGATCCCTGGCATACAAATGTATTAATGAGAAAATCCTACCCCACGAGGTATTGTATTGGCATATTACAAGAAAGGCTGCTGAATAGCATAAAACAAAGACTGTAAGTTGCATAAGGTCACACATCGTATCGTGGCAATGGCGACGCTCTGGAAGTACCGAGGCTTAGTCTGACTAAAACCATAAAGCCGTACTCTTAAAGAGAACTTTGTCAATTACACCGACATAAAATTGTGACAATAAAAGTAAAACATGACATAACCCGTTCTACCCGTGACACCCACGTAACCTGCGAATCTGGCACTCGTGGACCCATAAAGGATTTTATCCATAAATAAAGTAATGGAAGTTTATCTCCAACCAGACTTATTCCAATAGCTTTGGCCATTACCGCCTGAAGAGGGAATGATTGCTAAAACAAAGTGATTGCTAAAACAAAGTCGTCACGTTTATTTGAAAGATGATTCAATTCAATTTCATTAATAATTTCAATTTCTATTTTCAGAAGAATCGCCAGTACATCAAGGCCTACTTATTGTGTTCTACTTTTACGTTGGTGATGTCCATCTTCTTTAACATCCTGTATGAATTCACGTTCGTTAAGGACCCAACTGCTACTCTCCCACGGGCGCTAAGTGTTTGTAAGAACATTTTTCACATAAGAAATACATCGTCTTGCTGAAATAGTTGACTATTGGTTTTAGGATGAAAAATATAATGCATAGATTTTATTCTGACAGTGGCTAAAATGTCCACTAGGACTTTAAGGACTTTTAAGACTAACCCGTATATTATAATTTTCATCTTTCTGAATACTATAAAACAACAACAGACTAACATCCATATATATATATTATTTATACATCACAGACGAAATCTTGCGACAAAATAACCTCGGCATATTCGTCTTTCGCCGGGCGAAATTCCAATGGAAATGTTCAATTATTAATTAATCCGTATAAAAAGTAAAGTTAAAGTCTATAAATGTCAACTGCTGGGCAAAGGCCTTCTCTGTACAGAGGGCATTGGGGCATTGTCCACCACGCGACTTAATTGCGTTTGGTTGACCTCCGACGTCACATATCTTCAAATTTTTTTTCTATTATTTCGAAAATACGCAGGTCCTTCACCGCTGAGCACGTGATAAGTCAGCACTTAAAATTCACCATTTCACAATTTATTTTGGCACCGGGTATCTAACTGAGGTTGCTCGACTTATATTGGATTGAAAGCGTGCGCCCGGACAATGATCTATCACGGCTCAACTACTTCATTATTAGCGCGTATAGCCTCTGGTAATATCCTCTACCTTACTTTCTTGCATGTTCAAAACAGTCGATTTTGTAGTGGCGTATTCTTGTAGCGTTAAAAGAACTTTTGTAAATGACCAATAGGTTTAATCGACTTTGTGTTTCAGTGATGAACGCCCTCTACATATTCGTCATAAAGACCTACTGGGAGAGAATCAATCCAAACAATGCGACTGCTCAAGTAGAGACCGCGTAAATTGGCGAAACTCCAACGACAGCTCAACTTCAGAAAAATTCTATCCGTTTCATGATAATAATTTAAATAACAAGGTTGTTTACTAGTGCGATTACTGTAACAGATATTACGATCGATGAATCCTGTTCGAATCTAAATGTGTCAATAATTTTTAAGTGTATGTTTTATTGATAAAATAAAGTTATTATATGTATTTGAACATTAATCCCTTGAGTTACAGCATTTCACGAACCTAGCTCTTGTATGCTTATTTCGTTGACAACATGTATCTATGTATATGTTACGGTAAAACTAACAAACTGGTGAATATATATAATGACCGGTAATTATGCATAATCACCGCAAAATTCGGTAAATATGATACATTTATTAAATTAACCGGTTTTTTTTTTTTTTTTGCATAATTACGAGAGTTAGTTCGATAATTCGTATGAAAATTCGTTCTGTTTCTGCAACTGCTTGGCTTCTATCAACACGTGACAACCACGTGATTACAGTAGTAGAAGTAGTTCTCATTAGCATCTAGACTTTTTTCTGTCGTAGCATTCACATAGACTTTTCAAATAGTTTTTTTCTGACGAAAGAAACATAATTATGATGATTTGTTAAAAAAAAACGTTAATCATAGTATAAAAAAATAATCACATTAACGGCCAGTTTCTTTATTTGAAACCGGCCGTTATAGGTTCTTTTTGTCGGTTAATAAATCATCCCAGCAACTATTGTAACTTTTGTACTTATTCGTAAGTGTGACCCATAGTGAAAACCTATGGGCGACCTGTGTAATCTTTTCGTAAAATTATTAGAATAAATTTTTATATCATGGAAAGATTTTTATAAGAACCTTCAAATATAAATGACATGAAAGACTATTTCATTAATTATATGTAAATCAATATGTCATCATTAGAAAATACGGCAAAAATAAAGGACATTTATTTATTTATTTATTTAAACTGCACAAACATTTATGTACAAAGGCGAACTTAATGCCATCAGCATTATCTCCCAGTCAACCTTGGGGTGGTCCAGAAAAGTTAAGGTAGGTGCATTTATTACAAATTTACAAAAAAAGAAAAAAGCAATCATAAGATTTTTTTAATATCTACATTGCATATACGGATAAAACTATACAATATCATACATAAATATAAAATAAAGTAAACATATTAATGCACAATACATACATAGATATATAAATAAATATAAAATATACACACTTTATATCATATTTAACGACTCGGAGAATCTGCTGACAGTTGTTTATGGAAGTGCTCGAGAGTTTTCCTTTTAAATACTGACATTGACGTTCGCGTAGTTCAATTAAAATAAATTTAAAACGATAGAGAAAAATCACTGACGCCCGGTTTCTGAAACACTGATCATCGTAGATGTCAACTAATCAGAGTGATCTTCTTAATGAACCGAATGATCAATTCAAAGAGTTTAACCATCCTTTTGGCAACTCAAATGATATTTGATAAGCAATTTAACAGCTGATTAGTTAACATCTACGATGATCAGTGTTTCAGAAACCGGGCGTAATGAATTAATCCACAAGCAGAATTCTCCGGGCGCTTCTGCTTTTATAAAAACTCAATACACAGTTCTGCCAACATAATAAATATAAGAAGCGGGCGAAGTCATACTCGCATCGATGGTTCGATTTTTTTTTATTTAATGGGTCACAGAACCGACACAGAGCAATCAGACTCGAATAAATTAGGTTAGAAGGTGCAATAAAATGGCGGATTACTATAGTGAAAATTACACTACTTCATAATTTTTATTTTTCTAAAACTATAAATGACTGGATATAAATGATTGACACTTCTTTTAGTGTTACCAATAACCTCAAGGTATGACTTCATTTAGTGTTGCCAACAATATATGAGGGAGAAATGCCCGACATACATAAAAAACATAAATATCGGAATTGATAACCTCTTTCTTTTTAAAAATCTGTTAAAATATCGTGTCGAATTGACAGCCTCCTCCCTCTTTTCTTAAAGACAGTTAAAATTAGTAATACTTTAAGTTTCTAGCGCTCACTCAATCGTCTCCAGAGAAATCAATTACCGATATCGACAAGTCTCTAAACATTATTCTACAACAAGAAATTATTTAAATCTAACGATTTAAATAATTTCTTAAGAGTTGTCCTTCCTTCATCATCTCAGCGTTATGTGGTGATGATGGCCATACATCTGCGAAACAATAGCTTTAGAAAATATATGAAAAACATTGTTAATACCTATAACATTTGAGGGCTCCTTCGATTTCCCTGGGATTCCATAATCAGATCCTGACTTGGTGCTAATGGGGCCACCAGAATTTTGAGAATCGATTCATAAATGGGGGAGAAATCGGTGAACATACATAAAACAAATACATACAGTTAAACCTAGAACATCCTCCTTTTTTGGAGTCTAAAATAAAAATTCAGTTTTACTTCTTCATTTTCATTAAAATTTTTTAATTGGCCCCAGCAGACTCTTATTAAAGTAGCAATGTTTAACTAAGTCAAATTATGTTTCTTATCATTTAAATTGTTTAAATTTTTCCTAATCATCTCAATCTCCGATAGCTTCGTAGTTTGTTATTTTGTCTAAATTGTATCAATACACGTCTCTAGTGAACGATAGAACCACTCGTAACTAGCAATCAATTCAAGTTTCTAACAAATACAAGTTACTAAAAGGTCGTTACTTTCGCTTCATTTTACGCCGTGACTGCTTTTTATGTCGCATCACTATTCATCGTTAGAGCTTTTCTCGGACCCCCGGCGCAGAATCGCCAGGCACCTGCCAGTCAGTGGTGTACTCCTGCCGTGAAGACGTCTGCCGGACACAATGCAACAGTAAGTGATTAAATCAATGATGGCGCTATTTGGGACTGAGCGATTGTTAAAAGTTAATTGTTAAGTAAAAGCTTCTGCGATGTTATTTGTCAATACCTTGAGATTTATAGAAACAGCATTGCTGGTGCTGGTGGAGTATAGGGTACAATTTGGAAACTAATTAAGAGCGGATGTTGTAAAGCGCAAACGCGATTAAACTTTTTTTCAATAAAGAATTATTCATTTTCACGGTTCATTGTATAAAGGGAAATTAAGAGAAGCAAATTAATTCAGTGCGAAAAATCAGACGCATAATTGGTGCGAACAGAGCCTTAAGGCGCTGTATGCAGTAAAAATAGGTTTTTCAAAAAAAAAATTAGCACAATCTATACACTTTATAACAGCAAAAAAATATATGATAATCTTGATCTTACATTCCAATGGAGCATTGTTTTCAAAACATATTCTCGATATATTTCTCGATAGAAAAAAATCATGAAACTACCTCTAAAAGAGAAATTCAAATAAAAAAATGAACGTAATACATCAACAACCCTTATTGAAATTAATATCAGTGATGTAGAATATTTTAATAACAAGGATTGTTGTCTTAATTTGTTGATTGAAGTAAGATATTTGTAAATATTAATTTTTAATTTAATTAATTAAAATTAATTCGAACGCGACGGCCAAAACACCGCACCACCGCGGCGTTGTTTCGGTTCTCTTCCAATTCCACACGTTGAACAAAGAGCGCTGAGGCGCGTTGCTTGAAGGAGCTATGCCGCTCGTCCTCCGTTCACCGTTACGAAATATGTTCCTTATTTATTTAATTTTATTAGATCTTTCGAAAACACGAAATTAAAAACAAATATTCACATATTTCGTATTTTTAAATTATTTGTATGTATTAACAACTAAAGCGTAATTTCAATATGTTATCTTGTGATTGATATGGTTTATCAGTCCTATACATACAGTGGACCATCATTCTATAGGGATCGGGTTCAAATCCCTATATTTCTTTGTTAAATTTTTTGGTGATATTCTTTTTTGTAAATATTTTTTTTTTTACCATTTAATTTTTGTTGATTTTTTATTTCTATAAATAATTACAACAGAATATGTATTTTTTGAACGTAGAATGCAACAGTTGGAGAACAATCTATCAGAATCTGATCTGATAATAAACAAACTTTTCATTATTTCATATGTTTAACAAGTTTTATATTGTATGTATTAAAATTTTTAATGAAAAATTAAATATTTTCATTAAAAAAAAATAAAAATTAACCTTTTATGAACACGAAAAATATATTTTTTTAATTTTTTCATTAATTTGTTCATTTTCATTAATTTGTTTCAGAAAACAAACTATTAAGTGCGTCGAGGAGAAATATTGGAACGGGATATTAAATTCGTTATGTATGTTGACGACTTCCATTTTGTCGGTAAGGATTCCATTTATCTAATGTTTATTCCGTAGTTCCGACGGAAACGAGAAAAAAACACAGGACAGCGTGGCCCGGTTCAGCTTCAATGTAAATGAGTAAATTCTTAACATAATATATTTAATCAAAACTTTAGAAATTAAACTTTTTCGTTCATAACCTGATCATATTCTTACCTATAAAATGCCACAGAAAGTGATGAAACTGCCCACTAAAATGATGAACTTAACTTGAAATTTGTAGAAAAAAGGACAAAAAGCTATAGCGCTGTTGCAATTGAACCCACATCACCAAAAGAGTTAAATCTTACGTCTTTCTTCACTAACTTACCTATTACCCTTTTTAATCATGCTGTATAACACATCTGTTTATACGTGTACTTTTGCATTTTCTTGATATCGGAAAACCACCTATCATGATTATTTCGTTGGGATGGGTTCCGGAATCCACGACGGAACACTGCGGTGGTGGGAAGTATTTACCCAGTTCCGTTCATTCACTGCCTTGCAGCAAGACAGAACCTCTTCGTGTTGCGTGAACCCTTATTGGTCCATTGAAGTAGACGATTAAGGCCCCAGGTCACCGGCCATTTTAGTCACCATATACGACAGAAAGAGCAACCTTAACTCCACTCTAGGACCCCAATTCAGTGTCCCGAACAATACCGTGGCCTTCCTTTGAAAGAGGTTTTCACGTTGAGCGTATCT